TCCTTCCTTCCTTCCTTCCTTCCTTCCTTCCTTCCTTCCTTCCTTCCTTCCTTCCTTCCTTCCTTCCTTCCTTCTCCTTTTCAGATTTGAACTCTAGCCCTTGTAGGTTTCCATTCTACATTTGAGCTAAAACCCGTACAGATTTTTGGAGATTTCTTCTGCCATGCACACGTACTGTGGTTTGCAATTTTGCCCAACGTACCAAGCCTCGCACTTCTTTTCCCCTGACATTAGCATCCTTGCATGGTCTTTTTTAGCGAACCGATGCACGTGTTCTGCAGTCTGTTCCCTCAACTGCTTTCAAAAATGGCCCCAACACCTGCAGACCAGTGTAAAAAGTTGACCTGATTTGCAAAAACCAAGCTCGATAGGTCCAGACATCGACGAAACCGAGTTCGCCGCCATTTCTACTGGGATCTTTGCTAACCTCCTCCCGTCTAGATTGCCAACGGGAAGAGAAGAATGCGGGCACATTGGAGGGGCATTTTTTCTTTTTAATTCTCAGCGGTCGCTTACCCAACCTGTGGGACTTGCAAAAACAAGACAGGGAGAGAAACTGACAAAACAATGGAGGAGAGAGACTTGCCCGTCCCCGGCACCCCGTTCTGAGCTTTTGGTAAATTCCTTCCGACCCAGGTGCCCGAGGCCTTGGATCAGAGCCCCATCGCTCTGTCCCAGGAATGCCGAGCACACCGTTTGCCTGGGGCCACGGGGGAGAGGCCCCCACCCAACCACATGGGCTGAAAAAGGGCCCGGCAGCGTGCTCCTTTCCCACGCTCCTCATCCAGCGCTCGGCAGCCGGGTGCCAGTTTCCCCAGGGCGCTGCGAGGCCTCGCCCGGTCTCTGGAACCTCTTCGCGAAACTGCTTATTCACTCGCCGCAAGCCATGTGGGTGGCTGAGCCTTTGTCTCCCGGAACAAGTCCGGGCGGCTGCCTGGATCACTTGCTTGCACGCCGCAGATCTGGCACGTGACGCCTTTCCACGAGGTCATCGCTCGGGAAAAGGGAAAAAAGATGCCACTGACTTTGCTCGGGTGGCACCGCCCCGTCTTCTCCTTTCCACCCATGCCTTTGGAGCAGGGTTTCTCAGCCTTGGTCCCTTGACAAAGTGTGGACGTCGGCTCCCAGAATTCCCCAGCCAGCATGGTAGTCAGTCAACTTCAGGGCTGGCGGGGGAATTCTGGGAGTCGACGTCCACACCTTGTCAAGGGACCAAGGCTGAGAAACCCCGCTGGGCAGTTTGCTGGACAAAAGAGTTTGGAAGTTCAGCCTCCTGCCGGTTGATTCGCTCAGCCCTAAGAGTGGGTTGCGCACCAAGGTAGCCGATCAACTGGATCAAGCAGATCCACTAGATCAAGACAGAGGCTGATTCTGGCTAAGGAAATTTCTGAGTTGGGGAAGGACCGTAGAATAGGAACAGAGCACGCCAAAGCTGCATATGTGCGTCTGTGTGTGTGTAATTGCTAATCATAAATAGTGACTTTGCCTTTGCTTAGAATGGCTACAAATAAGACCCTTTTAAAAATATGTATTATTACCCTCTATCGTGCAAAGCATTCCCAAGAGATACACAGATTAGATAGAACCAGAGGGTGAGTGTTAAAAACTCATCCGCTCATTTTTTGTTTCAGTAAAGGAGCAAAGGAAAAGAATTGGTCAAAGTTTCCAAAAATGCCTTGCTGTGATACAAACTCCCTTCCTTCCTTCCTTCCTTCCTTCCTTCCTTCCTTCCTTCCTTCCTTCCT